CAGGCTGCCCAGGGAGGTGATTGAGTCCCCATCCCTGGAGGTGTTCAAAAAATGTGTAGATGTGGCACTTCCGGACATGATTTAGCAGGCATGGTGGTGTTGGGTGGATGGTTGGACTTGATGATCTTAGAGGTCTTTTCCAACCTTAAAGATACTGTGATTCTATGATTCTGTCTTCTCTGATCTTCTCCTCTGCCTTGTTTCCAGAAGCTGCGACTTTTTATTTTTATACTTGAAAGAGATTTTTTGCTCTGTTGGAGCAAGCTTTAGTTTCAATATTGATAGGTTTTACTCTGCAAGTAAATCAATTTTCTCAAAGATCATTGCTTTCTTTCACATATAATTTATCTTCTACTACTGTCTTACCAAAGCAGGAACTAGAAAAAGGTTCCAGAAAACTTCAAAAGAATAAAAAAAGAATAATAAATTTAATATCATCAGTTGCCTTAGACTTAAGAAAGCTCAATAAATTTATGAGGAAATTTACTGTGGTAATTCATGTATTTTTAATGCCTCTCTAAGAAAATAGGCTGCAGGAAAATCTTACTGTCTTCAGCTACCTAATGGGAGGATAGAGGGAACAGTCAGGCGCTTCAAAGGAGTGCATAGCAAATGGACAAGGGGCAATTGTCGTAAGCTTCAACAAGAGATAGACATTAAGAAGAATTTGTGACAGCAAAGATGTTCAAACACTGGAATGGATTGATCAGAGCAGCTGTAGAATGTTTGTTTCAGAGGTACTGAAAACTTAACTGGATGAAGCATCAGAATGCCCTGATTTAACTTCAAAGTTGGCTCTGCTTTGAGCAGGTAGGAAAATTACTTCTCCTGGTCACTTCCAGCCTAAGCTGTTTTGATTCACATCTGACACTTGTATTATAGAATTATTCCTGTAAACAATTTCATAAGAAAAAGTACTTTCAGCTCTAAAGATTCTGAATACAGAATGCATAATATGGATGTACAATATTAATGACAACACTGCGTCTGTGTGAGTTGATGAACAGACTTCAACTAGTTACCTCTAACAATGTTGTTAGCTTTAAAGTATTAATGAGATACCAGTAGTTGCATGTGTGAGTATGGCTTCATTAGAAGTCAGTCCCTATAAAGCATGAGGAATGAATGATTCTAAAAAAAGTATACAAAAAACCCCAACCAAAACCAAACCTGCTGGGAACTCGCTCGTAGTTGATTTCAACCATGTGAAGCTGGAATACGTTACTTAAAATATTCAAAACAGTGAAGTAGGAATTTGAAGTGTCACTATATGAATAAATACAGCAGCTATGACTGGTATAGCTGCAACAAGGAATATTTATTGGTTAAAATCCTTTTTGGATCGAAGGATAGCAATGCCTTTATGAAAATCACTGCATCTCAAAGAAAAAAAGACCTCAGAAGTGTTTCTCTAGATTTACTGGCTTTCAGTCAACAAGAAGATGCCTTTTAAACAGATTGTTTGCACAACTGAAAAGGCAAAAACTCCGTTAAGGATATTCTTAATTTAAAAAGCTGTGATGTGCTCCCCTTTCTTTCAGAAGGCATGAGTACATTGGAAAACAAAATCCGGAAGTCAGACTTTTTATTCTGTTCTCCATGTGTTTGTGTCTCAGAACAGTTTGCAACTTTAAAACTTCACTTCTGATCAGATTATATATTTAGAAGGTTTAGTTCCACTTGAACAAACTTACTATACAAATTGTGTACTGAGTCTGGCAGGGGCGGAGTTAATTTTCTTCATAACAGCCTGTATGATGCTGTGTTTTGGATTTCTTATCCAAATAGTGCTGGTAGCACAGCAGTATTTTAACTGTTGCTGAGCAGTGTTTATACAGTGTCAGGACTTTCTCTGTTTCTCACACTGCCCTGTCAGCTGTTAGGCTGGGGGTGCACAAGAAGGTGGGAGGGGACACAGCCGGGACAGCTGACCCAAACTGACCAAAGGGATATTCCACACCTTATGACGTTGTGCTCAGTGGTAAAAACTCAGGGAGAGAAGGAGGAAGCGGGGTCATTTGAGCTTACGGCATTTGTCTTCTCAAGTAACTGTTTCAGATGATGAAGCTTTGATTTCCTGGAAATGGCTGAACATCTGCCTGTTGATGTGAAGTAGTGAACATATTCCTTATTTTGCTTTGCTTGCATGCACTGCTTTCCTTCACTTCTTAAACTGTCTTTAACTCAGCCCACAATTTTTCTCCCTTTTGCCCTTCCAATTGTCTCTCCCATCCCACTGGCAGAAGCGAGTGGCTGTGTGGGGCTTAGCTGCTGGCAAGGGTTAACCCACAAAACGTTGACACTGTATTGCGATTTGCAGTAGTAGAAAATGAACTTGATATCCTGATATCACGAAATACTTCCTCAGGAGCAAAACACAAATTGGTTATGGCACATATGGTATGAGATGCGATATATTTCACTATTAGACTTCTGGATAATTTTGAGTGTGCTAATAATTTGGAGCACATCTCATGGATTTCAGTCAGTTGCTTAGCTTGGTGTATATGTGAGAGGCATACATGCCTGCAGTTTTAAAAGTTTGTGTTTTGAAGGGTTTTTGGCTTTTTTGCTTGGTTGTGGTTTTTTTTTTTTTTTAGGCAGCGTCCTCTGCATATATATATTTGACTTACCAATATCTTTATACTGAAACCTGCTAGGTACTATTTGGAGTTCTAGTTGCACGTTTGCAAATTACTCTTTCCTCGGAATCTGGAAATCACTCTTTTCTCAGAATCAGTAAATTTGTCAGATTATTCGTAGATCTTGCACTTTGGCATTATTGCTTATCCTTACATCTTACAAGAAATTTGTACAGGATCCTTTAAAATATAGGTTTGAGGACGTTTTAGAAGATGAAATTCCACTTACCTTCTTTTTTGACATCCTGCTGATACTTAATTCAGTGGAGGGAGTGAAAGGAATTGAGGAAAGCAGAGTACCATATGCCTTTTTAGAGCATACTTGGGTGACAGTCGTGAACAGGAGAATAAGAACAAGACCTGAATTCTACAAAATGACATCATCATAGTAGAATTGGCCAAGAAGAAGTAGATACTGTAATAGGAAGCATGTTTGTGATTTAGGGCAGGAAGGATGTAAATTTCAATCTG